CTTCTTTAAGAAGAATGTGGCACATTGGCTCTGAAGTGTCCTGTACAATTACGCAGCGCATGAGGAGATTTCTGATTTTCTCATGAAGGTCACCAAGATTAACATATACTCAAAGTCAGTAACCTATTTCTTGGAAAGTACTTGGCAGAATGGCAGCAGCTGCTGATTTGGAGGCAGGAATCATCATGCTCTTGTAGATTTTTGAGCATATTAGCAGCATCTTAAGAGGTAAATAACCACAAATCTGGTTAACAGGGATTTCCAGAGCTCTACACTAACATTGGCACCCTTGGTAATCTTAAGGATAGAAGGATGGGGAAAGCTGTTTTTATGGTGTCCATTTTCAGCTTTTGCTAAAAAAGGAAAAAAAATCTGAATACATACAAGTTTATTTTTAAACGAGACCACAGACATGGTGTCAATTAAATGGGGATTTGAAGCATTTCATTAAAGCTGCTCCCCCTGAAGGATGTCAAAATAAGATGAGTGGGGTCTGCCCTTTAAATTGTGGGAAATGGTTTGCTCTGATCTGTATCTTAATAAATAATCGTAGGAATTAAAATAAAAGATAATATAAATATACCCCTGCTGAAAAATCCAGCTTAAACCAGCCTAGGCTGGTTGGCTGGTTTTAGCTGGTCGACCAGGCTGGTTTTAGAGGGGTTTTGACCACTTCCATGCTGGTTTCCAGCCTGGTCTTAGCTGGTCAGGCTGGGAGATGACCAGCTAAAGCCAGCTTGACCAGCCTAGCCAAGCTGGGAGTCCAGCCAAAACCAGCTATGTTTGACCAGCCTGGTTAAAGCTGGATTTGGCTGGTCATTTTCCAGCCTGACCGGCTAAGACCAGGCTGGAAATCAGCCTGGAAATGGCCAAAACCCTTCTAAAACCAGGCTGGTCAACCAGCTAAAACCAGCCAACCAGCCTGCAAACTTGTCACTGTTTTATATCAAAAAAATAGTTTGTCTTTGAGAATCATGCTGTATAGCTTCTGAAACTCTAGGTCAAAATACACACAGTAAGTGAAGTTTCACAAACTAATTTCGAGAGGAGCACGTGATATGATTGACTGCAGCTGGCCACCCATCTACATTCATTAGTTAGCCAATCAGATTAATTCAAACTCACTATAAGTAGCCTAGCTAGATCTACTCCCTTATCTTCATTTTTCCGAAGAAAGCTCAAAGGACGGACCTAGCTCCTTTACAACCCCCTATCCACCGCTTCTCCTCCATTACCACAGGGGAGCTCTCAAGAACCACCTGATCTCGTACTCCCCTCACATGCTCTATGGACTTGGCGGGAGAGGGAGACAGTTGTCAATCAATATCTAAATGTGAACTCTTGAAATTAGAATTTAATTTAATATGTAGGTACGTTTGGTTCACTAAACTGTTTACTTTGATCTTGTTAGTCAGTAAAAGATAATGACTTGTAAAGCCAATTCAGAGCTGACTTTGTTTTCAGAGACTGTATCTTGATTATTCGTGCATTTTTTGATTCACAATTATGCAGACCTCGTACGTTGATTGACAGATACATTTCAAACTTCTAACAAGTTATTTTTCAAGAACCCATATGAACTGTTCTATAAAAATTGTTCTGTGCATGCCAGCAGGCAAGGGATGTCAACATGGCGCCGTATTGTCGTTGTACCCCAACATCGTGGGGACGTTGCATTTTATTTGGAATTGAAAATCAGGTTGACAACAAAACCCAACGTCAGGCTGACGTCAGTGTCCAACGTCCAACATAAAATCAACCAAATATTAACGTCTAACGATGTTACAGCTTGGCGGTGGAAGGACATTACCACTATGACATCTATCAGATGTTGGATTTTGGTTGTCATGGCGAATAAACGTCAGTATTTGATGTTAATATGATATTGGTTTAAGATGTTGGCTCGACGTTGGATTTTGGTCACTTTTGAACTTAACCTGAGATCAACAAAATATCAACGTCATTTGATGTCATTTTTGGACATCAAAATAATGTTGTCCTTAGATGCTGGCTAGAAATTGAACTTTGGTCACCTGACATCATGACATAAATCTAACCTAATGTTTTTGTCTTTTGACAAAGGCCTCAATGTACAGTGCTCAGCATTTATAAGTCCACCCCTCACAACTCTCTCTTTTCAATTCATATCTTTAATAGGAAGCTATACAAAATAATATTTGTGCACATACATTAGATTAGTCAGTACTAAAGCCAAATCTGGAGCTTATCTTACAAAATAATTTACAATAACGGTCCAAAAACTAGTACACCCAAAGTTTTTGTTATAGACAAATATTAGATACAAATTTTAAAAAGAGGCAAAAAATCAAGAGAAGCAAATAAAATAAAAAATGTAGTTGAAATATTGTCGGTTGTATTTTTTTTTTTTTTTTTTGAATATTTTACTTGAATTTAGTTGTATTGTCTTTTAATTTCTAAATATGTTTGGTGACTAAAATATTATTTTAATTAATATATCTGTTTAATAAATCTGTTTTGTTCAAATGTACCAAAATACATTACCTATATTCACTGAGAAATGGATAAAAATATAAATTTTCAACATGGGGTGTACTCAGTTATGCTGAGCACTGAAGATGGAAGGCTAAAATGGAGAGAAAAATATGCATTTTCATACAAAAACTTTTTAGTGTGGACATGGCCTTGTGTCAGGACAAAGTAGACACATGTCCACCTCCAGGATGATGCATAACACAAATGAAATTCCTTAATTATTGCCCTTGGACATATTGACCAGCGGCCATTCTCAGTGTGTCAAATCTCAGCCATGTCATTTGGTCCTTGGTCTTTAATATATATTTCTTAATAGTTTGCTCTTTGTGGGTGCCAATATTAGCAGAGCATTATCGAAAAAATACTAACATCAGCCTTTAAACGAGCCTGCAGCGTCAGGCTTTTTCCACTGATGGAGCAAATCAGAGAGCACATATTACACACACACACTCAAAGCAACAGCTGAGCCTGAAGCAGAACCAGCCAACTGGCACATGCCCAGAAAAAAAGCCAGATCCAAAGAGAACCAAGATAAGTGGATGTTCCTCTGCAGATCTGTTTCTTAACAAGTTGAGCGATGATTCTATACTCAGTGTAGCTTGGAGATCATCACAAAGACAAACAGGAGTATTTTTTTCACAGCCGTTTTAGTTTGGAGATGTTTATTCAATCATTAGTCGACTTGTTAGTTCTTTCTAAACAGTTCTGGCTGGCCGTAAGCAAAAACAGAATTGGTTCCCCCTACTATTACATTGGTAAGACACATTCAGATTGTTAATTTTAACATTCAAAACATACTTCACAAACCACATAATGTAGAAGACACAAAAGAGGTAGCAGTATTGTATATATGCATGTCAAAAAAAAAAAAAAAAAAAAAAAAAATATATATATTTATATATATATATATATATATATATATATATATATATATATATATATATATATAATATACTATTTTGTCCACCCAAAAAATGTAAATGTTCTTATCATTTATTTTCCCTCAATTTGTTTGAAACCTTTATGAGTTTCTTTTTTCTGTTGAACACAAAGGTAGATATTTTGAAGAATGCTGGTTGCTTGGACCCATCGACAGCCATAGTAACAAAAAATAAATATTATGGAAGTCAAAGGGTGCAATCAACCAGCATTTTTCTAAATATCTTATTTTTTAAATTACACAGTATTTAACTGTAATGTGAACTGTATTTTACTGTAGGACAGGTATCCAGTATGTTACTGTATTTAAAAGAGTGCATTGAGAAAATTACGGTAAATTTTACAGTAAAGATTTTCATAAACTTTCCTTCGGCTTAGTCCCTTATTTACCAGGGGTTGCCACAGTGAAATGAACGGCCAACTATTCTGGCATTTGTTTTATGCCCCTTCAGCAGCAACCTAGTACTTGGAAACACCCATACACTCTTTCATTCACACACACTCAAATACTAAGGCCAATTTAATTACATTTACAATAACAGTTTTTTCTTTAGTTTTATGTGGCTTTACACAGTCAATTGCCTTTTGGATTTATTTCCTACAATTATCAGATAATATGGTATGCTGTGTGTGCTTCATTGTGCTCACAGACCGTTTAAGTGGCCTCCATTTCCTATAGGTTTGTGAAATTATTTACTTATATTCCATCTCTATAAATGTATTTTTTTACTTAAGATAATTTATTATTTATAATTTTCTTTAGAACTTGAATGCACTCAGAATCTAACAGATTGATTAGCTGTAGGCTATAAAACAGTCATCTGACATGTTGTCATACAGTGTTATGCCTGGATTTGATAAACAGCCTTGCATTTACTAACACAGACTATATTTGACGTTTTTGGGAGTAATTGAGATTTTCCTCCTGTAGAAAAACATCATAAGAACAATGCTTAGTGGCTCAATGTATTACAACAGTGATTTAAAAAGACTAAACACTTTAGTGATATACAGTCCCTGCTGAAAAATCCAGCTTAAACCAGCCTAGGCTGGTTGGCTGGTTTTAGCTGGTTGACCAGCCTGGTTTTAGAGGGGTTTTGGCCATTTCCAGGCTGGTTTTCAGCCATTTCCAGCCTGGTCTTAGCTGGTCAGGCTGGAAAATTACCAGCCAAATCCAGCTAAAACCAGCTTGACCAGCCTGGTTTAAGCTGGATATAGCTGGTTTTGACTGGACTCCCAGCTTGGCTAGGCTGGTCAAGCTGGTTTTAGCTGGTCATCTCCCAGCCTGACCAGCTAAGACCAGGTTGGAAATGGCTGAAAACCAGCCTGGAAGTGGCCAAAACCCCTGTAAAACCAGCCTGGTCGACCAGCTAAAACCAGCCAACCAGCCTAGGCTGGTTTAAGATGGATTTTTCAGCAGGGGTAGTATACAACCAAGCACATGTGGTCAGAACACAAACGAATCGCAGGTAATGAAGTATTAAGTGTTTCTCCCAAAGAAAAGCCTGTCTAAGCAACATAGGCTACTAGCAGGCGTTTGTAGCTCCGCTCACGCTCCGCCTCTTTGCCCTTATTTGTTCACCCCCGGTGGGTGCGATGACGTGAAAAAAAAATGGCGGCGGTTGGCCACTCCTACTTGTTGTTTCATTTGCGCTCATCAAAAACTTATGGGTGACGTTATGGATACTACATCCATATCTTTTACAGTCTATGGTTTAATCGAAAAAAGAAACTCAAGTAGGTTTTGAACAAATGAAGGGTGAGTAAATGATGGCAGAATTTCATTTTTTGGTGAACTATCCCTTTAAGACTTCTTGTGTACCTTTTCCTTTTCAAATCATAGACACTTGAATATGTAATTTGCCTATGCATCAGGTCTTATATGCTTATATAACAATAACCCTGAAGGAGCTGAAAATGTCAGAGAAATATTACACAGTGACAGGAATCCTACAATGTGTTCAAATGCGATCAATTTGTTTGAACCCTACAACTTGACATGAGCATTTTCTTCTTATAATTGAATCTTTTGATATACAGTACCTCCATGATTCTCAATGACATGCGCACTTACAAAACACAGCCACGGTGACGAAAGCTGACAAAACACAGACGCTGAGACTTTAATTTCAAACATCACTCACTGTCTTCATCAAATCCACATAAAGCTCTGCTTCCTCTCTACCTGTGATGACTTTTGTTATGCAATCGCAGCTCAAACGCTGTTAGAAGCCACTGGGTTTTTACTTTGCTGAGCACAGACTTGATGGAAAAGCGGATTATGTCACATTAAATGTCATAAAGGCGCTCGTCATCATTTTCTTGCTGCTTTTGCTCCACAGTCGACCGCGGGTTGACCCGTCGCAATGATTGGATCCTTCGCTCGAGGCGGCTTCCATTAGGCTTACCGTCTGTGCCGGTTGCACAGTGTGTATCCGGTTTACAACCCGATTACGAAAAGCACACCCAAACACCTTTTTGAACCCCTTACGGAAGTGTTTGGACACCAGAGCGTACACGATTGGATTCAGGCAGGAGTTGGCGTACGCAACCAAATGCGATAAAATGCGAAGAACGTACGTGGTGTGGTTTAACGGGAAATGGCCAAACCACATGCACAAGATAACCAAGTGATGAGGCAGCCAACATAAACAAAAAAGCACAGCGACTATGATTATCATTTTGGTCACCTTGCGCTTGGCCTTGCGTGATTCTGACATGTCCTGCATGGGGTCCACGGAGGTCCAGAGGTAGCGGATGGTGCGGGCGTATGTGATGCCCAGAATGAGGACTGGGATCAGGTAGCCGAATATGAAGGTGCAGATGTCCATGGCCTGGCGATGATGGACGCTCCATGCTGGGATGCAAACGGTGGTACCGTCTAGGTCCATCTGCTGGTAGTAGCTGAGATAAGGGCTGGAGAAGAAGAGCGAGAGCGCCCACACCAGGCTGATGGAGGTCAGGGCGTTACGTGGAGTTCGCGTTTCTCTAGAGCGCAGAGGATACCGTATGGCAAGATATCTGTTGAGAAAATACAGCTCCATTAATCAGAGTGATGATACAGACGTGAGGACAGGGCAATGTGTCAATCACATGAGGTCCACCAAGAGAAAACTTCAAGCATCAGAATAATCTAGTTCAAATCAGTTTATCTCTTAAAAAATGCCATTTACACCACCTGACCTCAATCTTGTTGTGGATCGCAGTTGTATGAGCAACAGATAATAACTTGACTTCTAGTTGATCATTTGGAAAAGTAGCAGAAGGTCTATTTTACTGATGAATCATCTGTTGAACTGCATCCCAATCACCACAAATGCTGCAGAAGACCCATTGAAACCCACATGGACTTAAGATTCTCACAGAAATCAGTCCAGTTTGGTGAAAGAAAAATCAATGTTTTGGGGTTAAATTCAATATGGGATCTGAGATCTGCAGAGTGGATGGCAACATCAACAGCCTGTGGTATCGAGGCATGTGTGCTGCACATTATGTTACAAACCCCAGGAGAGGGCAAATTCTTCAGCAGGATAGTGCTCCTTCTCATACTTCAGCCTCCACATCAAAGTTCCTGAAAGCAAAGAAGGTCAAGGTGCTCCAGGGTTGGCCAGCCCAGTCACCAGACATAAACATTATTGAGCACGTCTGGGGTAAAATGAAGGAGGAAGCATTGAAGATTAATCCAAATAATCTTGATGAAATCTGGGAGTCCTGCAAGAAGGCTTTCTTTGCCATTCCAGATGACTTCATTAATAAGTAATTTAAGTCATTGCAGAGATGTATGGATGCAGTCCTCCAAGCTCATGGAAGTCATACATTATTAATTTTTTTCCGCTGAACCATGACTTTATATTCTATACTGTACATTATTTCTATTAAGTGACAACCAGATCTTACTGTCCTAATAAAATAATTATAAATCAAGGCATGATCAAATTTTATTTTGTTAAAATAAGTGTAACCTAGAGGCCTTTGTCTTTCATATAAGCCACTTCTGATAGCAAATGATCAACTAGAAGTCAAGTTATTATTTGTTGTTCCTAAAACTTGGATAGGCAACAAGACTTTTGTCAGGTGGTGTCACATTTTTTATAGTACTTTAAAGCCATTTTATGGCAATACATAACATTTGGACCTCTGTTTAAAGAATGCTTTTTTTCTGGATCCATCACCCATAAAAAAACTTGATTTTGGTTCTACTTCAGCTTTGCTCTTATAAAATGATTTACTGAACCGATGTACACATGGGCATTAAAAAATAAACTATTCAAGATAGTGACATGTCATCTTGTATCACGTAATATGAACATTAAATAGGAAAATAGTAAAAAGCTTAAATAAAGTACAGTAGCCCAGCTTTAAGTGATAAAGAAATAACACAATAAGTTTATATTTTTAGAGGCTATGGAATATATATATATATATATATATATATATATATATACAGTTGAAGTCAGAATTATTAGCCCCCCTGAATTATTCGCCCCCGTTTATTTTTTCCCCAATTTCTGTTTAACAGAGAGATTTTTTCAACACATTTCTAAATATAATAGTATTAATAACTTATATAATAACTGATTTATTTGATCTAATACTACTTTACTAGATATTTTTCAAGACCCTTCAGTACAGCTTAAATTGATATTTAAAGGCTTAACTAGGTTAATTAAGTTAACAAGGCAGGCTAGGGTAATTAGGCAAGTTAATGTATAACGATGGTTTGTTCTGATATTAGAAAGAAAATAGCTTAAAGAGGCTAATAATTTTGTCCTTTAAATGGTTTTAAAAAAAATTCAAAACTGCTTTTACTCTAGCCAAAATAAAACAAATAAGACTTTCTTCAGAAGAAAAAATATTATCAGACATACTGTGACAATTTCCTTGCTCTGTTGAACATCATTTGGGAAATTTTTTATTACAAGCTGTTAACATATTTTCAACAACAGTAACAAAAAAGCTATAACGCAAGAAATTCTTAGCCGTTTAGAAAAAAAGTAAGTGGTAACAGATTGAAGATATAAAATGGAAGAGATTTATTTATTTATTTTTTGCTATGCATATTCCGGGTGATAACTGGATTGATAAGAAATGTATATAACACTCTGGTATTTTATGGTTAAGGTCATGGTCACTCTTTCAGTGCTTGACAACATTTTATGCTCCATTGCTAAAAATAAATATTGGAGAAAATGCATTATCAGTGCTCAGTGCAAGACAAATGTTTTCACAGTGGATTTAAAGGTGCACTTAGTCTGTTTTTGTAAACATTTAGCTTCCAATTATTCATCTGGTGTATGCTTAATGGACTTATCCGTTTCGCTGTTTCATTTTTTCCTTCATTTTTGCAGCTGTATTTATGTATAACACGCAATTAGTTTTAATATGCATATTCCGTTTGTTTTTTGCAAATATGTAAATAGACAATGTACAATTATGTTTTTAGTTGAATGAATGTTTTAGGGCTCTTATTTTAAAACATGAAATACACAATATAATTATAATAGCCATTACAGCAACTAGCAATTATAATTGCTCGAGTTTTCATATTTTTGCGCTGTCTTCAGCCAATCGGCGTTATTATTATTATTGTTTTATTTCTTTAAATACGTTAACAGTTAACAAAAGGCAATTTAGTCACAGTTGTGGATATTTTTTTTTAAATATCGCGAGTATTCTCTTATAAAAACATGATATACAGTATTAAATTGTAAATAAATAATAAACTTTAAAAATAATAAGGCAGTTTCCATTCACCATTTTCTGATTCATAACCTCATGCACCATTATAACATTTCAATCGATTATGTTTACACTTTTTCTTTGCATTTGACTGGAGTAGGCTATAATGTGGACGCACCTGTCCAGAGACACTGCAGCAAGAGTGAAGATGCTCGCGTACATGGTCAGGTAAATAATAAAGTGCACGGCTTTGCACACGAACGCGCCGAAAACCCACTCGTCCATGGTGTAGATAGTGGCCTGGAGCGGCACGCAGAAAACGATGAAGCAGAGGTCTGCCAGCCCGAGGTTCAGGATGAACAGGTTGGTGCTCTTTGTGTTCATCTGGCCGTTGCGAATGAGAACGGCGAGCACTAGACAGTTCCCCACAGTACCGACCAAAAAAATCATGGAGAATATGAGAGAAATAATCACCGACTCAACTTTCCAGTGTGAGGAGAAGACGTGGATCTGCTGGGATGCGTTCATCTTTCTGTTAGGACCAGTGAAACGATGAGCTTCAGCGCTGCACAGACTCCATACGGACACACTTGGAGAACTTCTACATAGTCTTTTTTTGTGTTTGTTAGTTTGTTTTGTTTAGTTTTTGGGCAAAAATATGTAAATGGGATAAAAAAAACTTACTTAAACTCAAAAAGGAAAGGAAAGCATCTTCTGCCTGGATGGTTTTCCTGCAGGTGCAGATGAGGTGAATGTGCTGAACATGTGAGGATCACTCCCATCAGCAGCCTCCTCCCCTTACAGACCAGGGAATTTTCCTTCATAATTCACAGCTTATTTAATATACACTGGTCATCTTTTAAACAAGATGCAAATATACAAATTAATAATACAACTGATATATTTTCACTATAAGGACATGGCAGTATTAAGACAAACTGTTACAATAAGTGTTTTGGGAAGGCTGTTAATTGAAAAACAAAATAATATTAACCACCTTATCTTGAAAAACTAAAAGAAAATATTGTATAAAAATACACTGTAAATGCAGGTACACTGTGAAAAATGCAGGGTTCTACACAATGCATTCATGTTGTCCCAACGCAAATTAATTAATTTAACACTTTTAACAAATGTATGTGGATTAAACATAAAAAAATGAAGTTTAAAAACTTAATTAAATCTCAAGAATTGTGTTGTTTCAGCTCATTTTTGCTTTTAACCGAGCAAAAAAAAAAAAAAAAAAAAAAAAAAAAAAAAAATATATATATATATATATATATATATATAGTAACGGCCATTTATATATATATATATATATAAATTTAAAAATGCAATACCAGCAATCATCGACCTCATGGGACCTTCATAATACACAGAATGAAGTATTTTGAAACATGCAGATGGTTTCCTTTAGGTTTGGGGTGGTAAGGAACATACTGTATGTGCAGTATAAAAATCATACGTCTACAACAAGTCCCTATAAAAATAGCAGTACAACTGTGTTTGTGCTTGAGTGTGTGTGTGCGTGTGTTATCCTTGTTGAATAACAATCCAAATGTTCATCTTGAGTTGAAAACTGTTATAAACAGATAATGTCAGTGGTTCTACCAGAAAGACTCTAGGAGGCAGATAAACGTTTGAACATTTATTGTGAATTGTTTGCATGAATGAGAGTTCGTTACGGTCCTTTCATAAAGTTCTTTGGCGTAAGCCCCGTCTATAGTGCAGAACTCTGGATGAGCTGGCAGATCCTGCCTGAAGATGAAGGCAGGGCGAAGCCAACCCCCTGAGTGGAGACGAGGCCAACCTGGTGGTGGTGGTGATGGGGAGGATGGAGGGAAACTTCCGCAACGTCACCTGAATACAGCGAAACAGATTGTTTAGATGAGCTTTTATACATGGCTTGCTTGCTTGTTATAGGCTGACGAGATAATTATTATGAATGACATGACATCTCAGTCTTCCTGGTAGAACCTTCGCTAAAGCTTTCATTTCTACCAGAAAGACTCTAGGAGGCAGATAAACGTTTGAACATTTATTGTGAATTGTTTGCATGAATGAGAGTTCGTTACGGTCCTTTCATAAAGTTCTTTGGCGTAAGCCCCGTCTATAGTGCAGAACTCTGGATGAGCTGGCAGATCCTGCCTGAAGATGAAGGCAGGGCGAAGCCAACCCCAAAAAGGCAAAACTGTAGGGTTCAGTTTTGTAGCAATCCTAAAACAGAATGACAATAGATGAGATATCTTACATTGTATATTCATGCAAATCGCGCAAGGTAAAATGGAGATTAAATAGTGCCCTGACGGGCAGAGAGGTATATAAGAGATCCAACATGAAGATAAAACGAAGCACGCGATTAGGCTAGTAGATGCTAGAAGTCCTAATGAAGATAAGAGAGCATACCCCGCTGGGTAGAGGAGAGAGCGTGCCCTGACAAGCATAAGAGAGAGTGTGCCCTGACGAGCATAAGAGAGAGAGTGTGCCCTGACGAGCAGAGGAGGGAGAGAGAGAGAGAGAGATTGCCCCGATGGGCAGAAAAGAAAAAGCGTTCCCTGACAAGCAGACGAGAGAGTGCCCAGACAGGCAGAGGAGAGAGCGCGTGCCCCGACATGCCAAGGAGGGAGAGGGAGAGAGAGAGCCCCCCAACAGGCAGAAAAAAGCATGCCCCGATGGGCAGAGGGGGGAGAGAGAGAGAGAGAGAGAGAGCCCCAACGGGCAGAGGAGAGAGAGAGTGCCCCGATGGGCAGAGGAGAGAGAGAGTGCCCCGACGGGCAGAGGAGAGAGAGAGAGAGAGAGACCCTTCGGCAGAGGAGAGAGAGGTTGACTCGACCAGCAGAGGAGAGAAAGATTGCCCCGACGGGTAGAGGAAGGAGAGCTTGCCCCGACGGGCCGAAGACATTGAGAGCATGCCCTGACGGGCCGAAGACATCCGGAGTGTTCCCCCACGGGTCGAAGACATTCAGACCGTACTCACACAAAGTACAGTTGCCTTGAACTGGGCCAAGCACGCTTGACCCCCTTCCCGTCTCTCCTGATAGACCGCACTCACGCCAAGAACGGGCCTCGGCACACTTACGTCATCGCTGCTGCGCTGTTCAGTGAGAAGCGCTCTTACTCAGCCGCACAGAGGAGATTTCTCTAGTTATATCGTGTCAGTCGTTTTGATATGCAGTGACATGCAGTCAAATATTTCACCAAACAGTCCTTAGGGATGCGGTGACACGCAGTCAGATATTTTGCCGAACAGATCCGCCACTTTTGGCGCTCAGAAACAATCATAAAGCTCTTGTGCTGCTGCTGCAGGAATGAGGAGGTCTGCTGAAGGTGCAGAGCTGTTGTGCAGTGAGAAGTTTGCGTCTTTAATAAGCTACTGCAGTTTGCGTTCACTGAACAGTAAGATTGAATAATAAATCCATATGAAACAGTCCCTTAAAAGTCACGTCTCGCTTTCAGTTTCTGGCTTTGGCGTGTTTCACACCTCTTCCAACCAGGCCAGGGCCGGCCAAGTGAACCGTGCTTGAGGCCGATTCAGCACACTCACACTTCTCCAACTATCCGGAAACGGGCCTGGGCACGGTACAAATGGCATAGTGCGAGTAGACCCTCAGAGCGTGCCCCGACGGGCCGAAGACATTTAGAGCGTGCCACGACGGGCCGAAGACATTGTGAGAAGGAGCCCCATTGAGCTTGCGGTGCGAGAAGGAGCCCCGTTGGGCTTGCGGCGCGAGAAGGAGCCCCGTTGGGCTTGTGGTGCGAGAAGGAGCCCCGTTGGGCTTGCGGTGCGAGAAGGAGCCCCGTTGGGCTTGCGGAGCGAGAAGGAGCCCCGTTGGGCTTGCGGTGCGAGAAGGAGCCCCGTTGGGCTTGCGGTGCGAGAAGGAGCCCGGTTGGACTAGCGGTGCGAGATGGAGCCCTGTTAGGTTTGATCGGGGTTACCCTGTATGAAACCCATGAAATTAACAATCTATTGTGATTTACGACAATTAATGTCTAGCTGTTTAGAAAATCTGAGTAAATATTGAATCCCCTGAATTATGATTGGGTCCTGTTTGAGGATAATAGGCAATGACTACCCCCAAAAATAAAACACCCAACAGTTAAGATTTTCTTTGTTGGGATTTTTATAGTCGATAAGTTGTAGCGCAGGCCTGTCCTGCTGATGTTTTTATATGGTCGATTACATTGCTTTCGTTCTTCTAGAAATGTGATAGCAATATCGGTTAGCTTGCTCTGCAGTCACATTCTACACGCTGTTGTACATAAGATAGCAGAGACAGCAGTACGTTGAGCTAAACAGAACTTGGGGATTTAGGTTATGAAAGTTTCAGTATGGTATAATTTAGAGCTGCACAATCGATCAAAAGAAATCGAGAGAGAGTGTGCCCCGATGGGCGGAGGAGGGAGAGCGTGCCCCGACGGGCAGAGGAGGGAGAGCGTGCCCCGACGGGCCGAAGACATTGAGAGTGTGCCCCGACGGGCTGAAGACATTGAGAGTGCCCCGACGAGCCGAAGACATTGAGAGTGCCCCGACGGGCCGAAGACATTGAGAGTGCCCCGACGGGCCGAAGACATTGAGAGTGCCCTGACGGGCCGAAGACATTGAGAGTGCCCCGACGGGCCGAAGACATTGAGAGTGCCCCGACGGGCCGAAGACATTGAGAGTGCCCCGACGGGCCGAAGACATTGAGAGTGCCCCGACGGGCCGGCCAAAGAGATTGCAAGACGGAGCCCAGTTGGACTTGCAGTGCGAGACGGAGCTCCGTTGGGCTTGCTGTGCGAGACAAAGCCCCGTTGGGCTCAATTAATCGGGAAGAAATTGCGATCTCAATTTGACCACCAAGACTCTTAATGCAGCATTTCTACAATTCTGCCAAACATATTTTCAAATTTAGGAGAGAAGCAAAGGCGGCTGCACGAGTCTTTTCATTGTTTCACACACGTTGCTCAGCGACATGGACACCTCCAAATTATAGGAATCACACGTGACGCGAGCTGCTGATTGTGCGGGTGCACGCCCTAGTTAATGATTGCCGTGCGTGGATCTACTTTAGTGAACAGAACCTGCATATGCTGTGAAAAACGGGTAATAAATTTGTAAATAATATTCAGATTGTGGCACAGAGTGATCGTTTGAGAGCCGCGAGCGGAGTATGAACAGCACACAGCGTGAAAATCAAACCAAAAGTGCACATTATTTAAATAATCATATTGCATTTTAGAGTTATGATTGCGACAAGTTTCTTTATAGCGAACGCCGTTTAGCATGAAAATAAATTCATTCATTAGGAGACCTCAATATTTCTGTAAGTGAACATGACAACGAGAGCAGCGAACCTCTTGAAAGCATATAGAAAGTATGGCACCTGTAGCCTACCTTCATACTTATTAGATAAGGGTTAGAGAGCTTAGGTGCTTGCATACGGATCAAGATCAATTACAGTGATACAGCGCTAAATCACATTATATACAATGATACATAAATTAATCGAATTATGCTTATGTAGGGAAAGTTAAATTGTGATGATGCCAAAATTGCAATATTGAACAATTATGTCCATGAAAAAGTGCTACTATGAAGGATCACATTAAGTGCAGATGAAAGGCAACGATATGCCATGGTTAAAGAGGCCGCAATAGACCTAGCTATATAGAACCCGATGGACCATAGAAACTGGTAATCCGAGATGTCATGTAACGCGAAGTGCCATAAAACCCAACTGGACCACCACCACCAGTAGCTGCAAAGACAACACATGATGATTATTACTTGAAATGAAAGAAAATGTTTGAAACTTAAAATGTATGTATTGGACTCACGTTAGGCTGAACTATGTACCTGTAACGTCTTGGTTTATTGAAACAGCATATTTGCTCAAGGAGTGAACTTGCACTGGTCTTACGGTTCGTTTACAATTATGCCATTGATTTGGTTCG